ATTTTTAGAGAGTTAAATCACTCCAAATAGCGCCCACTTCTTCTTCTTCTTCTTCTTCTTCTTTTTCTTTTTCTTCTTCTTCTTCTTCTTCTTCTTTTTCTTCTTCCTCTTCTTTTTAAAATTTTGTGAAATTTCGATTTCGGTAGATGATGCTCTCGAGAAATAGCTATGAGGGTCAACGAGAGAAATTTGGGAATTTGGGAATTTTAGGAATCGTTTTTTCACCGAAATTCTGAAGACAACGTGTGTAGTTGGAAGGAGGGTCGAAATTAGTGGGAAGGAATTTGGGAATTTGGGAATTTGGGAATTGTAGGAATCGAAATTAGATTTTCAATTTTCTAAATTTTCAATTCCGTTAGGCTCAATTCGATGCGATGAAGAGGCGCGCTTTCACACTACTAGTGAGTTAAGGTGAAGTCAATTGAAATTCAACTGAGTTATTTTTAAATCAGTTGAATTCAATTGGATTGTTACATTGAATCATAGACACTTTTCCCCCTGAGTTCATTTTTTTTTTTTCCCTTTCCAATTCGTCGACGGTGGTCCCAACCGTCAGCTCAATTTTCTTCCTCTCCTGTTTTTTTTTGTTTTTTTTTTTAGCCTGAGAGTTACATGTTTGAGAACTCTGCAAGTGCGGCTTTCAATTTGAATTCAGCCGCATCCCAACTGTGTTGTTTGTACTTTCCCAAACACACACACACACACGGAGAGAGAGAGAGAGAGAGAGAGAGAGAGAGAGAGAGAGAGAATGCGATGACGCGGAGTGAAAGCGTGGAGGATTCGAAGGAGGAGGGAAGGTTAGGACGAACGGAGTACATCTACTACAGCAGTCTGCAAAGGCCGACGGAAGGTTCTTAAGGGGGAGCTGTGGAGCAGTTGCTGTGTGAGGGAGGAGATCGAGAGCAACTGGCAATTATTTGGCAGATACATCAGTTGTCTAAGGGGATTGCCAATTTGCCACTATATCGAGTGGAGGGGAGGGGGTTTTCGAAGCGGGATGCTGGAGTGCGAAAGCGCGGTTCCAAGTACCCCGTCCAGTTGCTATTTCATGGGCGGCAGCGGCTCGGTCAGTCCAAGGATGGCCGGTAAGCAAAGTGAGACTTTCTAAACCCTCACCCTCCTTCACGCTCTAGCCTCGCTTCCTCCCCTCCCCGCCGCCGCTAACCCAACCTCCCGCCCTCCCACCTCCTCGACCCCCCAGCCCACCTTCTCTCTCTCTCTCTCTCTCTCTCTCTGTCTCTTATACACATCTAGATGTGTATAAGAGACAGAGTGAGAAGAGGACAACAATAAATATATATGTTTGTGACGATATATATGTATATATATCTACTGAAATAATGGAAAATAACGCGAGCCTTGCA